CTATGCCACTGAATAAAAGTATGTAAGTAAATAGTGCAAACGTGCCATTATCCCCAAAACAACTCTGGTGACACCATGCCAAAGGGAAGCTGTATCCTGACATGGGCCAGAAGAGGAGGCAGTCCAGGCCCGGCCAGCAGCCAGTGCTCTGAGCGGCCACCCCAGCAACTTGGTTACCTCGTGCAATAATATTCCCAAACCTCTCTGTCGCTGTTATAAACTGCTGTGTGCTGAAAAGAGAATTTTACCTGGAACTAAATGAGAGACTCGTAGACAATTATCACACCATGATAAATGAAAACTTGTTGGCTTACCATGTGTAGATTTAAGGATGTGAGAAGAGGACAAAAGTAAGATAAAGGTACCTCTACTCTCCCTTTGTACCTCCTTTGCTGATCAGATGCAGATTTCACAAAGCCCAGTGACTATGAAAGCCCAACTCACAATGCTATACAGCAAGGATACTTCCAAGGACAGATAAACATATTCCTGATTTGCAGTCACTTGTCTCCATGCTGTGAGCACTCAGCAGTCTCTTCCCATTATTATCTCTGTTGAATGGCCTGTAGCTTTCCATTCCAGGTAAAGATCTAAGTGTTTTCAGCCAAGCTAAAATAAAATATAAAATAGAAAATAAAATAGAAAATAAACCCAGTGTATTTTACATGAGGAAACACCTGCCAGCAGTTTGTGCTCAGGAAAAGATCAATGGAAACCTGGAGGAAGCTCTTTGCAGAGAGTGCCTCGTCTTTTTTTAGAGTGGCCCAGTAAACCATGATCCCAGCCCAGAAACCCAGTCCCTGGGCTGACCAGTTCACCTCTCACCTCCTTATTTCACAACAGGAGATATCCACCACTCATTGCCTACTTTGAAAGCAGTTTTAAAGCCGCAGGCAGTGGGTTTTGACCTCACTCCACCTTATCTGTCAGAGGGCACTGTTCACAGGCTACTCAGATTCACAGCTGCAATAAAAGAGAGGCACTCGATAAGCAGCTCTTGGGTTTTTCTTTGTTGAGACACACCAGCTGATGTGCTTTGGGGATTACTGCATTATCAGCATGGTTGTGTAACTGAAAGGGGGATGAATACCATTTCAACCCAGCAAATGAACTGCCAGGTGCAGGTGTGAGAAGGACAAACAGAATCAGCATGGGCTTAGCACAGAGAGGAAAATGCCAAATCCTCCCATGACAGAACTTGAAAGTAATGGTCACATTAAAAAAAAACCCACAAACAGAAGAAGAAATATTATACCTTAACCGTATATTCTCTGCTTGTTCTGTGTTATTTGTTAGTTCTGGTGTTGCCACCTTTCAGAAGAAAAACCTGGTGTCAGAACCAGAAAAAGATCAAGTGGTTGGCTTAAAGCCAATCAAACAGTCCTCCTGGTTTCTTGGTTTGTTTCCCGATTCTTTGGAAACTTTTCCTGAGATCATACAGGGAACACTGAACTAATTCACTGACTCCCACAGCCCCTCAACAGGGACCCACTACCTATATGCTGTGAGTTGTGTGAGGAAAGTCATCGCCTGTACGTGGACCAAAGGGTGGAAGGTGGTGATCCTGACCGGGACACCACTGTACATCGAGGACTCAGAGATCCACATCACAGTTAACCCGAGCAGGCGCAGCCTGTGCTGCGCTGCACTGATCCTTTGGCCGCAGGACAAAGTCATAGAATCATAGAATCATAGAATCGTTAAGGTTGGAAAAGACCTCTAAGATCATCAAGTCCAACCGTTAACCCAACACCACCATGCCCACTAAACCATGTCCCTAAGCGCCTCATCTACACGTCTTTTAAATACCTCCAGGGATGGTGACTCAACCCCTTCCCTGGGCAGCCTGTTCCAAGGCCTGACCACTCTTTCAGTGAAGAAGTTTTTCCTAATGTCCAGTCTAAACCTCCCCTGGTGCAACTTGAGGCCATTTCCTCTCGTCCTATCGCTTGTTACTTGGGAGAAGAGACCGACCCCCACCTCGCTACAACCTCCTTTCAGGTAGTTGTAGAGCGCGATGAGGTCTCCCCTCAGCCTCCTCTTCTCCAGACTAAACAGTCCCAGTTCCCTCAGCCACTCCTCATAAGACTTGTTCTCTAGACCCTTCACCAGCTTCATTGCCCTTCTCTGGACACGCTCCAGCACCTCAATGTCCTTCTGGTAGTGAGGGGCCCAAAACTGAACACAGTATTCGAGGTGCGGCCTCACCAGGGCCGAGGACAGGGGCATGATCACCTCCCTACGCCTGTAACAGGAGCCTGCAGGCAGCTCCTGCTTGGTGCCTGTGATCACACCTCCTGCCTGGCCGTGCCTTTGTCTAAAAGGGCAACAAGAAGGTTTCCTGGAACGTCCTTCATGAATAGAGTTGTTTTCTTGTAAGAAAACTAGATAATAGCTTGAATGACTAAAAAGGAGGAGCTTCTCTCCGTGGACAGGACCTGCTCATTGTGCCCTGGGAAAAATCCACTCGGGCTCCATCTGATGCTGCACAAACACAAGGTTCCCAGCATCTGAAGGGACGTAAGATTTACTTGCTATCTATATTCCTCCTCTTATTCTGTCTTATTAAAGCAGTTATCTTATTAAGTCATTTGTTGTCAGGCCTTTCTTACTGATATCCAGAAGAGCCCTACACCAGCTCACTCTCACCTCACTCCCCACAACATCCTCAATTCCCACCTGTGCCTTAAAATATGAGTCTTTGCAACCTAGATATCTATGCCCCTCCTATAGTCAATGGAGAGCTAATGCATACAGTTCATGGACTCTGCAGAGCAAGTCAGCTCATGTTTGGTCAACTGAATCACTCTCTAGACTCCACTGGCTATGCTGACTAGACCTCCATCTGAGGGTAGGATTACTGCAATGATGGCCACATCTTCGTTTGATTAGTATGTACGAAATGTCTTTAAAAAATTGACATAACAGAAAGCCATTTTAGATACAAACGTTGCCAGACCATCCAAAGGATGACCAAAAAGGACTTTGAGTACTGACAGTGCTTGCATGCCTTCAGCACAAGACAGAAGCAATGCCTGATAGCAATGCTCTTCAAAATAATTTTCCTTTACGAACACAATCCATCCAAACTTGCTTGAGTTCCGCTGTAGTGACCTACCTTTTGCCCAAGAACAGCTTTTCCTGATGCAACCAGCATGACTGCAACAGCTGGGAACCAGATAAAAAAGTGTCATCGGCACACTTTTAGCAGCCACTGTTACTACACTGTTTGTGGCTAGTCCGGGGCATGTCATTATCTCTCCCAGTATCTCATATAGATTTAAAGATAGATAGATAAAACTTATAAAGAAACATTACCTCACACACAGAGATCCCTAACCCTGTAATGCCAGGCTAGTTAAGAAGTGAACCTGTCTAGAAAGTGCTATAAAACATAAGTGGGTGGCCCCAGCAATGAAACAGGCCCTCAGGCATCTATTAAATGAGCATGGTGCATTACACGGTGAAAATGGAACCAACTTACTTTTAATTCATGTAGTCCCGTTGATCTTAGGTATTAACAAATAATAAACTATTTTGCAATTTAGATTAAATATTAGTAAGAAAATGAATTATTCCAAGACTGTTGACAATGACAGAGACAAGTTAAAATAATCTTGCTGGAGCTACTGACCGACATTTAATGTTGTTGCCAGTAAAGAATCATACTTTAGATGATAGATCATAGAATAGATAACAGAATGGTTTGGGTTCGAAAGGACCTTAAAGATCATCTAGTTCCAACCCCCCTACCCTTCCCTACATGAGAATTCAAAGTATTTTTCCTTCACGGGATTAAAAAGGAGTTCATAAACCAAGCCAGAAATACTGTTCAGCTGTTGGCTGCTGCTGTACCTCCTCCTTGGCTCTCCTCACACTCATAGGAGGAATAGAAACTCCACCCAAGCTTTCATTCTACGTCTGCCTGAAGATTTAAGTGGGTGCACAGTCATCAATACAGTCAAGGCTGAAGACATTCAAGCAGGAAAAATTCTCTGGCAAGTTTCTTTTTCCTTCTTTTTTTTATTTCTTGGGTCACTGCCCAGCCACCAATACAACTTCTTGCTATGCTCAACTGAATCTGTGTGAAATCAGGTGTAAGTCAACAAGATAAACAAAAGGAAATATTTTGGCAATGTTTGCTGTGGGGATTGAAATGTCTTTTGTCTTTTCTGGCTGATATTTTTAATTGAGATGATTTCTGTAGCCTCCCTTTAAGCAGAACTTTCCTCTGGCCAGATTCTGGAGCTCTGAAGGTTATGACTAAGAAGAGGCCTCCTTAAGAGAAATCCAGACATCAATAACTAGTTACTGTAAAACTGTACAATAGGCAGTAAACTTAACTAGATCGATTTAAATAATTAAAGTCTAACAACCTTTAGTTAATGATCTATCTAGTTCAGGTTATTTATCTGCAAATCTGAAACAGATTTCAATATACGGCAAAGAGCACTTAAGAGTGAAAAGCTCCAGGAATGAAACACAGAAAAGCTCTGCAAATATATTTAAGTATGAGGCCCAAAGGGTGTTAGAAGGTATTTCTGTTTGTTTTCTTTAAGAAGGGTTGGGTCCTGCATGCTGACTTCAGTGGGAGCTGTTATGCTCTGCCTTCTTTTGAATCACACCTCTGATTACTTTTTCTTGCCTTTCAAAGGCCACATACTTACAGTCAGAATTTTACATAAATATGTTGGTAAAATGTTTAAAAATGGGATTAATGTATTTTTTTCTCTTTTTGTATCTGAGTAAACAGAGTGATTTTTAGAGATGCTCAGAACCACCACCAGCAATTTACCAAGCATTTCTGAAAATTAGATCCAGCTTTAAGGAGCCTATATATGGATCCAGATAGGCCAAATCATAGCCAAAGAAATCAGAGGACGTGGAATTCAGTCAGTAAAAGAGACCTCAAGAATGGATGAGTAAATTTAGATTTTTTTTCAGAGCAATGACCATGTTAATTCCAAGCCTTTCTTTTTTCATGCAGTACTCAGTGGCCCTGGATAAAATGGAAGATTTGAGTCTGAAACAGACAGTGCTCCGAGCTGAGATAGGTGAAGTGGAAGGTATTCCCCTCACAAAAACACTATGCAGCACGTGGGACCAAGTGTGGAATTTCAAAGCCAGATCTGACGATCTGCTCATCGCAACCTATGCAAAAGCAGGTTGGTGTGGGTAGGAAACAGAATAGAAAAGTTTGGGATAGTGCTTACTGTTTGAATTGAAAATTATGTTATTCTATTGTGACTGATACTTGTTTAATCCCAAACCAGACATATTTTAAAGACATGAAGCTATGTCAGTTGTGACTAGTAACTGACTTTGGCGGAAGTAACAACCATCTATTATTATTGAAGTTCAAATGGTCAAAGTCTAACTTCCTATACTGAAGTGTTTCCTTTGATTTAGATTATATACATATCTATTAATGGCAACAATAGAAGTTTTCCACCAATAGGTAATGATTTAAGAAAGCCTAGTAAAAAGTCATCTTCACTGAGAAATAATAGAAACAGACTGAACAACTATGGATAGTATTATGTATTTGGGGAATGACTGGTGTTATGACTTAGGGCTTCTTCCCCCAAAAAGCTGGTAGGATCAATAGCCCAACTGAAGTATATCTGCACCAATGCACGTAGCACGGGCAACAAACAGGAGGAGCTGGAAGCCATTGTGCAATAGGAAAACTATGATATAGTTGCCATCATGCAAACACAGTGGGATGACTCGCACAACTGGAGTGCTGCAATGGATGGCTGTAAACTCTTCAGAAGGGATAGGCAAGGAAGGAGAGGCAGTAGGGTAGCCCTGTATGTTAGGGAGTGTTTTGATTGTCTAGAGCTTAATGATGGTAACAATATCTTTATCAATGATCTGGACAAGGGGATCGAGTGCTCCCTCAGCAAGTTTGCAGACGACACCAAATTCGGTGTGTTGATCTGTTCGAGGGTGGGAAGGCTCTGCAGAGGGACCTGGACAGGCTGGATAGATGGGCCGAGGCCAACTGTATGAGGTTCAACAAGGCCAAGTGCCGGGTCCTGCACTTGGGCCACAACAACCCCGTGCAGCGCTACAGGCTTGGGGAAGAGTGGCTGGAAAGCTGCCCAGAGGAAAAGGACCTGGGGGTGCTGGTTGGCAGCCAGATGAACATGAGCCGGCAGTGTGTTCCAGGTGGCCAAGAAGGCCAACGGCATCCTGGCCTGTATCAGAAATAGTGTGGCCAGCAGGAGGAGGGAGGTGATTGTCCTCCTGCACTTGGCACTGGTGAGGCCGCATCTCGAATCCTGTGTTCAGTTTTGGGCCCCTCACTACAAGAAGGACATTGAGGTGCTGGAGCGTGTCCAGAGAAGGGCAATGAAGCTGGTGAAGGGTCTAGAGAACAAGCCTTATGAGGAGCGGCTGAGGGAACTAGGACTGTTTAGTCTGGAGAAGAGGAGGCTGAGGGGAGACCTCATCGCGCTCTACAACTACCTGAAAGGAGGTTGTAGCGAGGTGGGGGTTGGTCTCTTCTCCCAAGTAACAAGTGATAGGACAAGAGGAAATGGCCTCAAGTTGTGCCAAGGGAGGTTTAGACTGGACATTAGGAAAAACCCTTTTTCACCAAAAGGGTTGTCAAGCATTGGAACGGGCTGCCCAGGGAAGTGGTTGAGTTGCCATCCCTGGAGGTATTTAAAAGAAAGACGTGTAGATGTGGGGCTTAGGGACATGGTTTAGTGGTGGATTTGGCAGTGTTAGCTTAACGGTTAGACCTAATGATCTTAATGGTCTTTTCCCACCTAAATGATTCTATGATTCTATGGTTCTATGGTGTGTAAACCAGTACTGATTTCTGGAAATGGGTTAATTATTTTAAGGATATAACCAAATTGACTTAATAATTTCAGCCAATAAAATAAAATACCCACCATTAATATTAGCTCTCTGACCCTTTAGACTTACTACACAGGAAAACAATGAATAACAAGCATCAATATTAATCCTGGGTGAATAAAAACCTGTACAGTTTAGGGGATTCAGAAACAGATGATGATCATTAAAAAATCATGACTTGAATTAGCAAGAGTTTTTAAGTGTTTTTTTCAGTAGGGAAAAAAAACATTATACAAAAAAAACCCAACATTATTTTTGTAAAACCTGAAAGCTTTTAATTTATTTCCTGTATACTGAAAACAAAACCACGTTATTTTATCCAGCCTGGATTAAAACCTCTCAGCCATTGAACTGAAAAGAAATAAAGTTAGGAGTCCGTTTGACATTATGTTGTATCTGCCCCAGATGCAGAATTCAAGCATCTTAAGAAGGGCTGAGTTTCCTGCCCACATTGCTTTCCAAGTTATCCCTTAGCCTATTCTCTAGCTGACCTACCACAGCACCTCGGAGGAGATGTGGTTAACCCAGTGATCACGGCTATAAGGGAAAAGAGGCACAGAGACACAATACTGTAACTCTTACAAGATGTTGCAGTAGCTCAGGCAGATGAAATGTTGTACTGACCTTCATTAAAGCATTTCAAAAACGTTGAAAATACTGCAACTTTTTTATATTTTCAAACTGTATGAAATTTTTACTCACTCAAAGTTCAGGTATTTCATTTTTTCATTCAAATTCAGGATGAAAACAAATGTTGAGATACCTGAATTTCATTCCTCTCTGCGAATAATACAATCTCCAAATAATAGTGAGTTTATGCCAGGGCTTTTTTCATTACTGGCGTGGGGGTGGAGGCTATTTCTGTTGGCAAGAAGAAGCCTGTCTAAAATGGAATCCGTAAAACTGTGCTTTGGGAATTACCTTTGTATTCCTAATTTTGCATTTTTCCTCCATTATCCTCTCTTTCCACTTTGTCCATCATCTTCTGTGCTGTTCCTTCCTCCTTTAATACAGAGTCCATCCTTTTGGCTTTCACTTCCCTAGCAGAAGAGACTGTTGGCTATCCCTGAGGGAAACCTCTAAACACTGACATTTTCAGGTACCACATGGACACAGGAGATAGTGGATATGATTCAACAAAATGGAGATGTTGAGAAGTGTAGACGTGCCACTACTTACAGACGCCATCCTTTCCTTGAGTGGTCTATCCAAGAGCCTTCAGCTACGAGTTACTCAGGTGAATATTATACAAATAGGTTTGTATTTTAGACAAAATGAAACAAAACAAGCACCCAGTGCTGATGCCACAGGTTTCCTGGGAAATGTCCCACTTGTTTTGTTATTGAACTATGCACCGTGTTGGGTATTAGGGACCAGTTCAGTTGCTTTAACATAAACATATAGTGCTACTCAAGCCGATGCAAGGCTGGCAGATGTGACTCAGGCCCTACTGAAGACCATGCTGGTTTGGAGTGGCATCTGAAAGCTGTGTGTGATACTCCACAGTACCTAAAACAGCAGCAGATACGTGTAAAATGGCAATGTGGGGGCAACTGAATCCCATTCTCTGATTAGGGGCTGTATGGAAGAGAAACCTCTGTCATGGATGTATTCCCAAAAGGTGTATAATGTTTTTAGTGGTTTTGCTACTGTTTTTGAGTAACTGCTGTTAAATTCTAGGGTCTAGTCACCCAAACAAGCTATGGGGCATTCAGGCAACCAGCAGGCCTGACTGTTTTGCAAAGACAGTTTCTTACAAGAGTCTTCCCCCAGCAAGGGCTCCCGTTCCACACAAATCTTTAAGCCAGACTCTCTTCACATTTGAAGCTAAAAAGCTTGACTAATTCTGCAGCAGAAGTGCTACCTTTTCTCTTCTAAGCTAGACTGTATTGACACTGAGACAAAAAAATGATAGAGGATGACAGAGGATGATAGACGATGATAAGAAAAAAAAATGATAGAGGTCATGATATGTGTTTACAAAGGAGAGGGGGAGGGGATAACACACTTCCACATATCATCAGATATTCCCAAGTATTCCCATATATCCAGAGCTACTCAAAATCCACTGTCCATCATTCTCCTAGTTTCTTTTTACATGCTATCCAGAAAATCTAATCAGCCAGTCTATTCTTCTTGTACCCTAGAAAGAAACAAAAATTTCTTACCTGCAAAGTGAAAGGAGATCACTAAATATTGCGAAGGAAAAACTTTGGTTGGGTAAATATAAATTAGTATTCATCATTATCCCTTGGAATGCAGGGGTTAGACAGGGGCCCAAGAAAGCAAGAAGATAGGAATCAGTGTTCCCCCTTTCGTCATTGAATACATAGGTAGAAATTTCTCTAGAAACACTGAAGGTGCTTATACAATGTTGTATATGTTACACTGCTACGTAATTGCTTTGGAGATTAACGATTGTTGCAAGATGAACTGCTGAAAAGTCACAGTCAAAATCACACATATGAGAAGAGCAAAGAAGTGCTAGTGCGATTTAAAGAACAAGTCACATATCATAATGAAACATCCCACAGGCCTGGAATTAGCCGAAGCTATGCCTTCTCCACGAACAATAAAAACTCATCTCCCTGTGCAGCTGGTGCCTCCCTCCTTCTGGGAACAAAACTGTAAGGTAAGGCTGAAGAGGTAGGACTCAATTCTACTTCACCTGCAGAGACAGTGACATAAACCAGGACTGAATACAGTTTCCAGAATCTTTATGAAAACTAAAAGTCTCCCCAGACGTTTTCCCTTCAATGTGCAAAGCTTGTGTGAAACTAAAGAAGTCATGGCTAAGTTACCTGCATTGGATTTCAGAAAATGGTAGCTTCAAAGCAAAATCTCTTATGCCTCTGTCATCAGGCTCCAAGAGAAAACTCCAGGAGATGCTCAATATCTATATAAGCATGTGTAAGTTAATTTTTCTCTCTCTCTCTTTTCTTATCAATAAAGATAATCTATGTGGCGAGAAATGCAAAAGACAACCTGGTGTCATACTACCATTTCCACAGAATGAATAAAGGAATGCCTGACCCAGGAACCTGGGAGGAGTTCATGGAGAAATTCATGACTGGAAAAGGTGATGAACTGCAATCAGTTCTATAAGAGATGTTGTTCATTTAAAAAACGCATGACATTGATTTATTTATTTCAGCTATGGTTTGAAATCCACTGCTGACTCTCTACAGAAGGATATCTACTGAAGGTGTTTCAGTAGTAATTTATCTTCATTCATAGGTTTTTATTAGTACCTAAAGGATTAATTCTATCTTTACATCTATCTTTCCCATTTTGGGGAAAAAAAAAAAAAGCTGTTCTTTATTTTATTATCATTCAGAAACATGTGTGACAATTTTCCGGCTCAATTTCTTCCCTCTGATTTTAAAAGAAACCTGCTTGGAAGCCAGCTGGGAAGGAACAGTGGTTTAATTGGTTTTACTCTAAGTTGATATACAAGAAACCAAGGTTTAATTTTGTGTGGAAATGTGTGGTGTGAATTTGAGTTAAAGGAGTCTTTTTACCTAAATTCATCTGTATGAAAATCAGGCACCTGAACAAAGCCAGTTATCTAGCTAAAGACAGGCAGCCCCAGAAGCTGATTCTTCCCTTTCTAAAAAAGGTGCTCATATCCAAGAAAGAAAACCTGCTCCAGTGGATGGCAGTCTGCAATTTTGTTCAGTAAAGCTTCCATAGGTCCTTAATATTTTTGCCACCATGTAGGTCTAGAAACACCACTGTCTGGACCAGCATGAGAATCTCATGTCTAGAGGAGACCTTGTGTCTTGTGTTTGATGAGCTTGGCTTGGGAGCCTTCTGTCCCAGTGCAGACATCTAGAACATAGCTACCTCTGTCCAAGCTAGTCATCTTGACACTTGCTGGAGAGAAACAGGCACTTCTGATAGTATAGCAAATATTTAAACCAGTTAGAATCACAGAATAATGCAAGCTGGAAGGGACCTTTGCTGTCCATCTGGTCTCCAACCCCCTGCTCAAAGCAGGGCCAATTAAGCTGATCAGATTAATCACTCTGGAAACGTCTGTTTCTCTCCATCGACCATAAAGGCAGCCTGGATTTTTCATTCAGGGGTAAGCATCTGCGTTTGTTGCCCTCTAAAGTTTACACATGAATCTTGCTCTGAGCATACGCCTGAGGGATTCATAGCACGAATGCTGTGATAAGCACAGAGCACAGCAGTTATGGCCACAGTGATTCAAAACCAGCTGGGAAATGCCCAGACAGTGGTTATGAGGGAAACATGAGTGCCACAGATACCTAAAGACAGTTTGGGCATTTGTAGCTGATGATGATGTTACTCCTTTTTCAGTGCTCTGGGGTTCCTGGTATGACCATGTAAAAGGATGGTGGAAGGCAAAAGATAAGCACCGTATTCTCTACCTCTTCTATGAAGATATGAAGGAGGTAAAAGGCTGAATGCATGTTTATAGAGCTCTGAAATCTGGAAGTCCAGTAGATACTACCTACAATCAACAGTTTTCTATGTAACGCCAGCTCTATCAGTAAATCTTCAGATAACCTGATCATCTCGCCCTGACAACAATTGCAACCTTAACACTTGTTTGATTTCTTTGCTTTTCCTAGCTCTGTATCTTATCCCATGTTATTCTCTCTGCAGAATCCAAAGCAAGAAATTCAGAAGATTCTGAAGTTCCTGGAGAAGGATGTGAATCAGGAGGTTCTTAACAAGATATTGCATAACACCTCGTTTGAGATAATGAAGGAAAATCCCATGACAAACTACACTAACGAGTTTCAGGGAATAATGGATCATTCCATTTCCCCATTCATGAGAAAAGGTACTGAGGTTTGTTACTGGCATCAATTCTGTCTTCCTGGTTATCATTCTGTTTTGAAATAAGCCTTGAAGTACAAGTATCTAGTGAGTCATGGCTAATGGGCTTCAGGAAATACTGGTAAGCTAATATTCTTTCTTTTTTTGCTTTGCTGTTTCTTAGGGGTTGTTGGGGACTGGAAGAATTATTTCACTGTGGCACAGAATAAGAAATTTGATGAAGATTATAAGAAGAAAATGGCCGATACCTCTCTTGTGTTTCGCACGGAATTGTGATTATTAGCAATGGGAATTATTCTCTATGATCTTCAGCCTTTTCCATTTTATATATTTTGCTTTTCCTTCACAAAATGCTTGTTCCCTAAGATTTCAATCTCTCTCTTTCACGCACCACTGATTTTTCATTATTGTGAGAGTGCCCAAATTATATGGAAGCTTAGGCTGGTCTCCCTGACGAAAATAATCCCACTGGATACTTCTCATTCATCCCTCCCACAGTAACTTTCAGCATTAACAAAAACATTTCAGACATGCTTTGAGTTTTTGTCTTTGTAAAACTGCAGTTGATACGTTGGCATTTTCAAACCAACTTCTAAAATAAATTAGGAACCAATAGGAAAAAAGGTGGTGTGGTGGTTTAGCCCGGCAGGCAGCCAAACCCCACACAGCCGCTCACTTAACACCACAC